GTGCAGCAGCTGCCAGATCCATCCCCAAAACAGCTGCACTGCAGCACACAAACCTTGTTGTGGGAAAGGGAGCTTGGTAGGCATATAATTTGAGAAGAAATAAAACAAAAACAGTCACCCTTTACGGGAAAGAAGCATTTAAAGGACTTAAAGAAGCCCCCTCAGGACCCGTGGCAGACAGCAGAGGAGTAACCTCGCTCTCCCGCCAAGGAGCAGTCAGACAAGGCCTTGCAAAAATAGCAACGTTCTGCTCTTCGGCCGAACCTCAGCAGCGCATCGCACTGCCCACACATCTCCACGGAAAATTAGTCACAAACACCGTGTTCAGACCAGCCCCAGCAAAGGACTGCTGGACTTGTGCACACCCACAGCCTGGCCCCCAAACTCCCCAGTTCCTGCTTTTCTCTGTGCACCGCAGGCAGAGTTTGCATCACTTCAAAGGGCTGGTACACGTGTTCTCAGGTAGCCCTCCAATAGCGCTCCCATTTCTATTTCATCGTCACAGCGCCAAAAACCCTCTGGGAACAGATTTTATTTGTGGGAAGGCAGCGTCTTTTAAGGACCAGGTGTGGAAGAGGCACTGAAGTCCAGATGTGTTAGGGCAGAGAGAAGAGGGCAGCTCTGGGCGCTGAGGGGTTACTGAGAACTGCGAGCGGAACGCTGAAAACAACCATTTAAGAAGAAAATGGTTAAGTCCTTCCCATGTGATGCACCTCAGTACACAGATAATTTTATTTGTGGGAAGGCAGCGTCTTTTAAGGACCAGGTGTGGAAGAGGCACTGAAGTCCAGATGTGTTAGGGCAGAGAGAAGAGGGCAGCTCTGGGCGCTGAGGGGTTACTGAGAACTGCGAGCGGAACGCTGAAAACAACCATTTAAGAAGAAAATGGTTAAGTCCTTCCCATGTGATGCACCTCGGTACACAGATAAAAGGTAAGTCACCTTTTGGAACTGGTCCTACCGAAACGTCCCCTGTTTGTCCACAACAACCCATAGTAACTTTTCTCCTAAAAGGTTTCTCCCAGTCAAACAGAGGTGGGGAAGGACGGAAGTTTTCATGTACATATGCACCCCCTGTGCTCCGTGGCCAGACCTCAGCCACACATCTCTTTTTTCCCCAAGGAAATCTCCTCCCAGTGTCCTATTTGCAGAAGTATTGCTCAAGAAGTTGAGTAAAACTACAACAAGCAGGGGAAGAGGATACAGCTATAACCGGAAAACAGGAGAGCCAATGATTTCTTCCTCCCCACACCACTGCCTCTCCTGCTCAGTTTAGGTAGAATTACACAGAAACGTGACCCGTTATTAAAGGAAACATCTATTTCCTTTCTCTCCCCTTTGGTGCTGGCTGTGCAGTGCTTCCTTTCGATAAAGGCACCTTTGGAAAGCACTGATGGCCCGGAGCGCAATGCCCCTAGCCCCATGTTTACACCTGAGATTAGCCCTGCTGCACCTCTCCTGCCCCAGCCCCTGAGGGACCCCCAGGGCTGCAGCAGCAGCAGGGGGAGAGCGGACGCCACACGAGGCTTCCCATGGACGCCACACGAGGCTTCCCACAAGCGGCTGTGTGCACACACACACACAGACCTCATTCTGCCACGTGCAGGCACCCGCGTGCTGCCCCGGTGCCTTCCGCATCACACCGAATACTTTGCCATGTCACTCTTATCAAAGACAACTTTGGTTGCGAAGTAAATGGCTACCAGGCCAAAGCCGGCAGCTGACACCATGTAGGCAGTCACGGACTGCGTAAACTGGACGATGGACCCCATGAAGAGGGAGGGGACGACCTGAGAGAGGAGGAAAGCACTGTCCAGAATAGCCAGGTCCAGGCAGATCCCTCGGCCAGGAGCCACCGAGTCCGGCTCTCCCACCATCATCATGAGCGAGACGTCGCAGGAGGAGCTGACGCACAGAGCCGAGCTGGCAGCCGGGGCAGAGGAGGAAGAGGAGGAAGAGAAGAGGCTCCCAGCGTGTCCATTCTGGTAAGGCAGCTTCTGGCTGGAAAGAAGGCCTTTGGAGAAGGCTGATTTCTTGTTCAATCGAGCTGCGTCTTCCTCCTCTTTGCTCTTGTATTTATGCAAAAATACCTAGGGGAAAGAAGGAGAGCGTGTAAGGAACGAGTAGGTGGGGTGGAGTCCAGCAAAGGACGTGAGGGGCAGAGGGAACTCTGGTTTTTGTGTGAAAGAGCAAAACCACCCTGGGCTTTGTGTGCATTGGGTCCGACTGCAAGAGGCGGGGGGTGCCTGCAGTGAGCCCAGGTGAAACTGCCTCCAGGAGCCAGCCTGGCCTCTCCTGGCAGGCACAGGAACCAAAGCAGCCCTGACTCGCTGTGAACGTGGCCAAGCGGTGCCTTCGTTGTGCTGCAGCCCAAAGCCAGCCCAGGCCCTGCACGTGGGGATGTCGTGCACTGAGTCCCGGTTGTCACCTCCTCACTGGGTGCCATGGGAATCTGAGCACCAACTACAGCTCACCCCATCCCGAAACCGGCTGATGCACACTTGCAGGACAGGAGTGAAGGGCCAGAGCCCACTTCAGATGTAGCACAGAGCCAAACAGTCCATCCTAGTGCAAACAGAAGCGTTATAAAGTGTTTGACTGGGAGCTCAGACCCTTCCTGCAGAAGAACCCAAGGGCAGATGAACAGCTCGGAGCCCTGGATACGTGGCCACTTCTTAATACCTGGGATAAAAGTGACAGCAGCAGAGGTGGCCGAGTGCTGGGAACCCAGGAAGGAGCTCTTGTCTCAGGTCTGCGACAGACCGTGCATGCATGACCTCAACTGAGTTGCTTCATCTGTCTGACCTCGGCCTCCTCTCTCGGGCTAGGAACGGGATGAAGAAAAATCTTCTTCTTCTCACCCTTTTCTGCCTCGCTCTGCTCAAGCTGTGAGATCTCTGGGGCATGGCTCACTGCAGCAGTCCTCACACAGAGTATCTGGATCAAAAAGCTCTTTACATTAACGCCAACAAATCATGGGCAGTCCTCTCCAACAGGGAGACCAAACCCAGCTCTACCCCACCTCGTCGTACCAAGTGCCTCCCGTCAAGCCCTTGGCAAACAGCTGAGCATGTGGCCTTCCCATTCCCAGCCCGTGAAGTTTGGTTTTCATTCTGTTGGTATTATGTCCATGAGAGCTCCCAGTCAAACTGAAGCTTTTGCAAAGCAGAACACTCCCTCGTCCCCCTGTTTTGACAGGGTGCCTGGTGCAAATTGGGATGGGTCGGTCAGAAGAATTTGCTCAATGCGAACATCTGGATGCCTGTGGTAAAAGCTCCTACTTATTTGACTGCACAGTGAACCGCCTGCCGTTGGGATGAAAGAGCTGCTCTCCAACCACAAATTAATTCTGCATTTGCAGCACAAGAGAAACTCCTATTAATTCAGTGTGCAACTCGAGAACCTCCTAGGACTTCTCCACAAGGATAACATCTGTGGGGCAGGATTACGAGCTTTTGTGTTGGTGTCAAAAGTTTCACAACATTTATCTTCCTCGGAGCTCGGGGAATAGGAAGAGCCTCAGTTTTCATTTAATTTTAGTTTTCTTCTTGCCATGGACAAAAGTTGGAAAGCAGGACCTACAAGGGCTGAAAATTCTCAAGTTTTTTAGCACCTCGGGTTGGCGTTGCTGCAGATGTGACTTGGCTGCAGAATGCACACAGGTATAACCTGCACCCGATTCCTTAAAAAATACACACAACACAGAGGAACATAGCACATCCCCTGTGAAACATCACTTCTAGCTCATTTCTCCCACCTTACCCACTCCTTACTGTTTAAAACTGCAGAATGCTCGTTGTGAGCAGGGGATGCCAAAGGAAGGAGGTGCTAAACTCTATCACCTCCATTTCAGAGAAGACACAGCCTGGCGACAAGAGGCACACGTGGAAACCTCTGCACACAGACACGTGTTTCTCCTCCACGGGCTGGACTCTGTACCAGCCACAGGCGGCAAAAGAGGCCATCCGAGCTGTCCTCACGGCTACCGGACACTTGGCCCTCTGCAGCAGATCCCTACCTGTTTCTCGTGATGATACAGCGACGCCAGCGTGTAGGGCAGGATCTGGAGTGCAGAGAAGGTGAAGCCCGTCAGCGCGGCTGAGATGGTGACAACGATGACGCTGTGGGAAAGGCACATGACGAAGGCAGCCGCCGGGAAGAACACCACGCTGGCCAGGTAGACCGCCCGCGTCCCAAACCGCTTCACCAGCCGGTCCATGATTGTCGAGAAGAAGATGGATGTGACACACTGCAGGAAGAGCCCCAGACTGCCCATCCGGACGCCTGCAAGAAAGCAGAGGTGGTGACACACACGGCCCTGATTTCATGCAGCCAGACGCCTCCCTCCCCTTCGGTGCCCAACTCAGGACGGTCCTGCAGGGCGTGACACAGCCGCAAACAGCCTCAACAACCACACTGCCAGGGAAGGAAGCTGAGCAGCATCACCTAAAATATCCCAGGGTTACGCTGGCCAGACTGCAGCTCCCACCCTCCACCTGCAGTGAGTGTTTCCTACACATGCGCCTGGGCACCCCGGTCTAACCAGAGGGGCACTGGGAGATGGGAACCCAAACCCCATTCTTGTCTTTGGGAGTCGTTCACACCTGCCTACTCATGAACCAGGATCCACCACCTGCTTATGAACCAGGATCTGTGGTTATCTGATGCCAAAACCAGCAACAGAACAAAAGGAACGAGGAGTTGTGCTTAAGCCAAGGTAAGGTACACAACATCCACTAAACGGCTGCTGTATCCGGTAGCAATCCGGACCTTACCCTTTGCAAAGATCTATCAGATTTCAGAGTATTAAAACCATTAACTCTTTGCAGCAGGGATCATTACTCAACACATGTTTCTATGACAGCCAGCACAATGGAATCCTGGCCTGCCGGCAGCTACACAGTGCAAGTGTTAAATAATAATTAAACTCCCTCTAAGTTAAACGGGCGCTCAGCACAAAGAGGCAGTGTATTGCAGAGCTCGCAGAGGCACCGAGTGGAAAACTTGGACGGCAGAACATACACCTGAAAGAGGAAGGGAGGTGCCTCCAAGAATAAAAGACTTAGATCAGAGAGGAAAAGAAGGGCTGGGCAGCGAGTCAGGGCTCTGGCACAACAGCGGGAAAATGGGACAGCAGGTAAGAACAGACAGCAGGTAACGTGCTGCAGGGAGCAGCATCCCACTGTGTGGATGTGGCAGCTGCTGACTGCAGTGCTGAGAGCTATCAGAAAGCACTGGACAGAGGGGTGAGAACTGGGGAAGCTGCTGGAGGGCTCTGCAGATGGGGAAGTGAGAGGGGAATCTCAGTAGCACAAAAGGAAGATGCAGGAAAGCCCACCTTGCTGCTACTGAGTATGTCCTGGATTTCCAACCCTGCACTCCAAAAGACGGGAAGCACCATCACCCCTCATTTAAAAGGGGGAAAGAGCAGTGAAAAGACCTGGCAGCAGTGACCACAGCTCGCAGACAGAGCTGGATACATCCTGTTCAGTGTGCAACCTGCCAGACCATTCTGCCACTGAACAATTCAGCCCCAGGCCAGGGCTGCGTGGCCAGATCGAGTTCTGTGCTTGGTAGCTGGGAGGAGAAAGAGGCGTTTCCCTATTTGGTCCACGGTGCAAAGCTCTGGGGGCCATGGGGAACGCCTCTTCCTGACCCAGCTGCAGACAGTCTCTTTTCTTGTATTACTAGCAGAGCTGAGCCCACTCGTAGCTCCCACCAAACGCTCCTGCCCTAGGTGCTGCAGCCTCGGAGCACCTGGTTCACTTCTCACCTTCATCGTAGTGGCGTCTGGCATCTGTGCCTGGCTTGGCTCTGGGAACGCCATGGTACAGCCCTTCCCCAACAAAGTCCGTGTAGAACAGCATGAAAGTCATGAGTGCCATCCAGCTGCACAGCTCAGCCACGAAGAGGCGCCGGATGACCTTGGGGATGCGGCAGTAGAGGCTGTGGAGCCGTGGCACCAGCGTGCAGAGGTTTCTCAGGGCCTGCACCATGTGCCTGGCCTGCAGCAGACACGAGCTCCTGGAGAGCTGGCAAGAGCAGCAGGCAGGAGGTGAGGGCTTAGGGGGAATGTCCTTTGGCGCTGGGCCATCCGGGACGTCTACCTGTGCGGCCGCCTCCTCTGTCACGAAGAGTGTGGCCAGCACACAGCCCAGGAAGATGAGGGCAAGGAGGCTGAAGAGGCAGGTCTCCTGCCCGCCCAAGTACGGGGCCAGAAAGCTGCCGTCCCAGTCAATGGCTGGAAGGAGGTAGCCAATGCAGCCCCCCAGGCTGATCATGAAGGCGTACATGGAGAAGGCTTGGCGGCAGTTGTCTGGCTCCTGGAAGAGGTCTGAGAGCAGGGCCTCCAGCGGAGTGAAGCAGACCTGGCCGCAGAAATCCAGCAACCCGATGCCCAGGATGAGGAAGGCAATCTCCAGCGGGCGCGTGTTGAGGGCGAACAGGCTGGCCAGGCTGCTGGCATGCGGGATAACGAAGAGGCTCAGCAGGACTCCCAGGCAAAGCATCCAGATGAAAGGTCGCCTTCGGCCATAGCTGCTGTGCCAGTGGTCGCTGGCAGATCCAATCAGTGGGACAAAAACCAAGCCAAGGACTGGTCCTATCCCTGGAAAAGAGAAAGAGGTGATGTTAGTGGGGCAGATATGGAGGGGACTGTAAAAAAAGCCTGGGATGTTTCAGGAACTCAGTGAGCTTCACTGGGTCACAGCCCCCGCCCTTTGATATAACAGCAGCCTTGCAATCACGCTGCAGAGACAAGCCTCCGTGCCCTTATTTGCCCCTGCACCCCCAGACTCCAAGAGGAAACAAGCACCTCTAAGACAAGAGAGAAACTGCCTACCCAAAACCATGGTCATGAACTTCTCCTCCACACCCACTTCCAGCAGCAGCGGGGGCACGTAGGTGATCCCTGCAGCCAGGCAGACCTCCAGGCCGAACGTCAGGGAGTTGACCAGCAGGAGCTGGGTCTTGCGGTTGTGGAAGAGCATGCTGCCCCAGGCGCCCTGCGCCACGCTGCCCCGACTCCCTTAATGACTGAGGGCTGTGTCGCTGCGGCGCTCCCAGGGATGCCCCACAGGCATGGTCTGGAGCTTCCCTTCCTGGTCTGCTGGAGAGGTGCTGCCTCTCATTTTTAGCAATGGTGAGTGAACCGTCTTTTCCTCATATTGCAAGATGTGACCCCAGCAACGTCGAGTCCAGGCAGGGATCCCACTCCAGGCTTCCCCGTCTGCTCACATGCTGCAGTCTGAGAGAAGAGAGAGCTTGTCAGTCACAGCAGGGTACAGGGAAAAGGCTCAAACCAGGCACCACACAGACACAGCATCGCTGAAAGAGACCGTCCCCATCCCAGCAGGCTTGCAGGCTTGGGAGGATGAAGAGAGGACGTCTGGGAGAGCAGCGGGGTTAGACACAAACTGCATTGGTGCCAGGTTTCTCTCCAAGGGCTCGTGACAGGTGAGGCAGGCACCACAGTTTGGGAAAACCCAGTCCCGCCTTCGGGCTAAAGGAGGTCTAATGACCTCTCAGTGTCCTGTCCAGCCTCAGCTTATAGATGGGCAGTTGTAGCAGAGAGGCAAGGGATTTAGGGTCCCCTCTCCCACTGAAATCAATTAAGAATCTGCTTTGAGGCGCAGGGCTGCAGGCACTCTCCTGCATTCACACAGGGTCATCTCTAGAGACCCACGCCACTGCCTAATGACCGGGGCATCCCTCGCACTGCCCTGCAGGCTCCCAGGGAAGCAGTTTCACCCAAATCTTGCCTCCAGCCCCTGAGACGGGGCATGGAGAACAGATGGTGCCTCCATGGAGTTTCACAAACAAACCTGACCCACTTTAGCCTCATCTAACAGTGAACAGCAATTACCTTACTCATTAGTCTGAGTCATTTATTTGCCCTGTAACATGCTCCCTTCTCTCCAGCCGTCTTCAGAGGGGAGAGGCCACCAGATCAGAGCAGGGGCTGAGCAGCTACGGAGGAAGCGGATGCCTCTTGGTAACCTGCTATGAGCCTGTCACTACGTCGGTCTACAAACAAAACAAACCCTGCAAAGTTACCGGCTTCTAGGCCACCAAACTGCTGTGTGGGTAAAAGCATCGTGGGAAGATGGTCTGTAGCTATGCTGGGAAAGGCAGAGCGGGCTCTCTTGTAGGGACAAGGCATAAAGGTCCCACTGGCCTCAATGTGCTTCAGCTTCTGGCCATTTCTGGGCCACGCACTGCACTCCCCATTTGCACAGGAGCTTCTGCCTCCTGTACCACCACAGTGCAGTCCCCAAGTGCTTTGGGTCCTTTGGATGAAGGAGGCTGAACAGAATGTGAGACACGCAGGTGGAGGAGTTTATCTCCGCTTGCTCCCTCCCTGGCTGTGGGGAAGCCGTAGCTGCGCACCTACCTGCCCGCACACCCCCTCCATACCAGAGCTTCCCTTACCCAGCTGCAGACAGGGAACCCAGCAGAAGAAATCAGGTGAAAATCCAGTTTTGCAGCCCAAAACCCCTCTAAATTCTGTGCCCCAGTTGCAGGGGACAGGAAAAGACTTCTACACGGAACATCTCCATGCCAAGGCTCGCCTCCCTCCACAGCACACTGAGGCAACCGGCGCTGGAGGCCACGCTTGGTGGAGTGGGTCAGGGCTTGCAGAGCTGGAACGGCTGCTTGTCAGGGGCTGAGCGGGCTGCAGTGTGTGTGTGTGTGCGTGTGTGTGTGTGTGTATATGTGTGTTTATGTGTTTGTGTGTGTGTGTGTGTATGTACGTGTGGGGTGTGTGTGTACGTGTGGGGTGTGTGTGTGTATATGTATGCAGGAGCCACCAACCCAGCAGCGTGCTGGACCATCGCCTTGCCACAGCGACACTGGGCAGAGAGAAAGCCCCACATTAACACC